CCCTGATTCAACTTTTGCAAAAATGCAATGTGACATCAGCCAGCAAGTGTCTGCATTGGTTCCTTTTGTGTTAACACCATATGATGAAGCACAAAACGCAGTTGGGGATAGCTTTGTAGAGTTGTCTAATAATCCAACTAGATGTAGAAAACTGGCTAAGCCAGAGTCTTGCCAGATTATGTTACACGGATGTCATGGAAGTTCCCAGAAGTGAAGCCAAGTTGATTGCCCCCTGGTTGCTGGTTGCAATATAGGTCATAAGTCCTGCCTCTTCCATGTTAATAGACAGGACATGAGCCAAACTAAAAACTCAAAATACAAATCAAATACATTTTTCCAGAAGTGAGTTCTATAGTGTTTGGTAGATATTATCATGGTGATTTCTGTACAAGTGTTCATTTTTGTGGTAAGCTTATTTTAATAAGTTATTTGATTATACAGTATAAAAAGATTCAAGATTTTTATTTGCCATTTATGCATAAACAGACAGTCTAGGCATATAGGAATTCTTGTACAGCTCTCCTTTGGAGTCAGGTAAGGAGTCAAAAGCCAGAAAGAACACTTAGGCTTAAAATAAAAAAGTTACATAAGGGCGACAAAGTATTAAACACAATACACAAAAATAGGTTAATAGTATTTCCCACAGTGAACTTCAAACATCACACTTAGTAATTCACAAGGTGGAGTTGGATATGGCATTACGCTGGGTGAGGTTTTTCACATTTTCGTATTTGCCATCAGTCTTAGGGAAAAAGTTGTTGTAAAGTCTTGTTCTGTGTGTGATGATACTGTGTCTGAGCTGGGTGGCGTGGGTCTCTGATTATGTTCTCTGCCCTTTTACAACAGCGCTGTGTGTACAGTGTGTCCATAGCAGGCAATTCAGTCCCAATGATCCTCTCTGCAGTCTTTCTGACCCTTTAAAGAGCCTTCCTCTCTGCCTGTGGTGAGGAGGCGGCCTTGCACTCCTTTACTAGAGCCGTTTTTACTGTAGGATAATGAATACGGATAATTTTAACTCGTTTGAGCTTCAAATGAGTAAGGTTGGACACATTGACTCATTTTATTGTATCCTGATCTACCGCCCTCTGGGCTCTACACGGTTGTTTATAGAGGAGTTTTCTGATTTTTTATCATCGATTATTAAATTTGAGAGTGTTTTAATTCTCAGAGATTTTAATTTTCATGTCGATGAGCCTTCCTGTGGGGTGGCGGTAGACTTTTTAGCTCTTATGGAATCATTTAATTTTAATCAGCATGTTCTTAGTCCTACCCATAAAAAAGGCCATACTTTGGACTTAGTTTTTTCTGTTGGCCTGGATATTGATAACTTAAGTGTTGATATGCAACTGAGTGATCATTATTGTGTTCGATTCAATTTGTCTCGTAACATCATGTCCTCTGTCCGCAAAGTGCTGGCCCAAAAACGCTTGATAAATCAGGCTGCACTTTATGGAGTCTCTTTGTTATTTGACCCTAGTTCTTTTTCTAATTGTATGGACAGTGAAACATTTATGGACTGCTTCAATGGTCATTGTTTGGATATCCTAAATTATGTGGCACCGGTTAAACATTGTGCAGTTTCTTATAAAAGACTGTGCCCATGGATGAGTGAAGCTATTTGTAGCTATAAAAGAGATTGTCGTAAAGTAGAGCATCTGTGGAAAGCCAGTAAGTTGAAGTTCATAAACTGCATTTTAAAAATATGATTATGGAGCTAAATAAAATGATAAAGCAGGCAAGAATAGCATATTTTTACTCATTTGGTTTCATTAAACAAGAAAAAAACCTAAAGTTTTGTTTGATACAATATCGTTTCACTTCTAGCTCCCCAAGTCCCTGTTCACACAGTAAAGGATTGTAATGTGTTTTAAAACTTTTTTTATTGATAAAGTACAAGATATTAGGGCCAGTATTAATCCTAGCCTGGTAAGTTTAAATACTGAGACACCATGTGTAGGTCTCTGGTCATCTTTCACTCCAGTAACACTTCAGGAGGTGAATACACTAATAAGCAGGATTAATCCATCAACTAGCCCTGTTGACATCTTGCCTACATCTTTGCTTCTAAGTAAGTCGAACTTGATTGGTCCTTGGATTGTGAAATTGTTAACTCTCGCACTTGAGACAGGATCTGTTCCTAGTTATTTTAAACATGCACTTGTTAATCCTATTTTTAAAAAGCCAACTCTCGACCATTCTGAGCCAAGAAACTATAGGCCAATATCAAAGCTCCCTTTTATATCAAAAATCTTGGAAAAAAACGGTAGCAGGACAGCTGATCGCTTTTATGGAACAGAATAAACTATTTGACGAATTTCAGTCAGGGTTTCGTAAGATGCATTCTACTGAGACTGCTTTACTTAAAGTCTCAAATGACATAATGATGGCTGCAGACTCTGGT